CATTCGATTCATTAATCTGGAATAAAATGCTAATTTCATTAATAATGATCATGAAACAACTGGATTGTCGTTAAAATCCATCTGGTTTACTAATGTCCTTCAGGGAGGAAATCTGCTGTTCTTCCATAGTGTGACCTATGTGCGACTCCAGATCTATTAATGTGGTTGATCTTAACTTTTTTCTGAAATGACCCAGCCAGCCATTCAGTTGTGACAACTAAGCAATATCTTCTAAAGGGCAAATAGAAATGGGCAAAAAATGCTGGTCTACCTAGTAATGCATAAATTAAAAAACCCTCTCCCATATTGCTACAAATCTCTTCCACAGACACTGGCTCTTTCTGGAATCTGGTTCTGTGGCCACCTGCTACTGACCTTACCAACATGGTTTCAAATCCTTGGTTTCCATCGTCCCTAGTGAAATTTAAATTTGATTAATTAATAAATAGGGAGTTGACCATAAAATTATTATCAATTGGCTCAAAAACCCATCTGGTTCCCTAATGTCCTTTAGGGGAAGCAATATGTTGCCCTTACCCGATCTGGCTGATATGTGCCTTCAGAATGACAGCAATGTGGTTAAGTCTTAACTGCACTCTGACAAGTCATTCAGTTCAAAGGTAATTTGAGATGGGTAGTGTTAGCCCAAGCCTGGACATTGTCCAGGTTTCTCCTAGGCCCTACCCTTCAGCTAATTAGCAAGGCATCAATCTACTATCGATCACCAGCGATTGACAGTGCCGCAAACAAAAAATATTTGTTAAGTAGCTGCTCACCAATGCACAGCTTGGGCTTGAATAATCGGGTCAAAACTTTGTTATAGATTTGGTCAAGAAATGAAGAATAAAAGCTGAAATTCAGAGGAGAGGTGGCAGTGACTGCTCTTGACAACTATGACCATTTTTCCACTTCTATTCTTTGAAGGGACATTGGCGTCACTAACTATGTTAGCATTCAATTGCTAATGAGAAGGTGACATGAAAGATCCCTTGGGAGACTGAAGTCAATGGGAAGGGGAAAACTCAACACCTAACACAAAGATTGTGTGGTTGATCCTGGCCAATAATCTCAGCCCAGTAAATCACTCCAGGAGTACCTCAAGGTCATGTTCTAGGCAGAATCACCTTCAGCTGCTTCATGAATGGCCTTCCTTCCAACATTTGGTCCAAAGTGAGATATTTGCTGGTGACTACACAATGTTCAGTACCATTCACAACTCCTCAGTCTGTGTCTGCAGGCAGCAAGACCTAAACAACGTTCAGGCTTAGGTTGATAAGTGACATTTTCCCATGACATTCAGTGACATTACCATCGCTGAATCCCTCACCATCAACATTCCAGAAACTACCATTAACTAGAAACTGAACTGCACTGGTCAAATAAATACTATGGTAAGAAGAGCAGGTCAGAGACTACAAATTCTGTAATGAGTAATTCAGTTCCTGTCTGCCCATAGTTTATCCACCAGGTACAAGGCTTGACACCATCGAGGACAAGGCAGCCAAGTTGATCAGCACTCAACATTCGTTCTCTTCATCATCGGTGCATAAGGTTAACAGAGTGTGCTAGCTACTAAATGTGTTGCAGCAACTCATCAAGGCCACTTCAACAATATCTAAACTCATGACCTCTATGACTATGACAGATACATAGGAGCATCACTGCCTGCAAGTTCCCCTTCCAACCAACACCCGATCCTGTTGAACTATACTGCTGTTTCTTCATTGATGTTGGTCAAAATCCTGGAATTCCCTCCTTAACAGCACTGTGGGTATCTCTGCACCCCAAGGACTGCAGCAGTTCTAGAAAGTAATTCATCACCACCATCTCAAGGAAAACAAGGGTAGATAGTAAATGCTGCCGTAGCCAGGGAACCTCATGTCCCATGATTTTGTTTAAAAAAAAATGGATTGCAGCAGTTTAGGAAGATGGCTCACTGCCACATTCTCAAGGATAATTAGAGAAGGGCAAAAAATTGGTGGTCTAACCAGTGACAACCTCATCGCGAAAAGATTGCAAGAAAGAAATATTTTGTTGCTGATGGAACTGAGCATGCTCAATCTGAACACAGAGAATCCAACTGGCAGCACAACTTATTGTTAGGACATGGTCTGCTGAAACAATAGCCTGTACAAAGGTTGGCAGCTTGCTGGGATGCAGCTCCTAATGGGCATTGTTCCAAAGCACTGACCCGCAGCTCAGACCTACCTCACACAATGTTATTTTATGCTCGTCAGCTTTCAGCAGCTCCATGGATTATTCTATGGAGAATGGAAGAACCCTTCTGCTCTTATATCACTTATTAACCCTTCAAAAGCTGTCCTATTTTTCTTTAATTGATTCATCCATGATGATTTGTACAGGGGAGCCACTGCACAGGTGCCAATGGCCAGTGTTCAAAGTGTGAATCTTAGTAGTGATTCCATCCCAGTTTTGCTTCTGTTAACACAGCATACTAAGTAGTGACCTCAAGTAGACTTAGCTTAAGATAAGAGATTGCAAACACTCTCTGCAAGACTAGCTTGGCCTGAACATAGCTGTCATCAGGAAGGAAAGAAAGGTTTGTTTATATGGCACCTTGCACGAACACAAAATATTCCAAAGTGCTTCACATTCAATGAAGTACTTCTGCAGCCAATTTGCCCACAGCAAAATCCCACAAACAGAAATGTAATAATGTGATAATTTGTTTTTTCTTGTGACATTGATTGAGAGTAAGTATTGGCTAGGATACCTGCATTTCATTGAAGCAGTACTGGGGGGATATTTTATATTCATCTGATAGGGTAGACAGGGATTTGACTGAATGTTTCAACTGAAAGACAGAAACTTTGATAATGCAGCACTCCCTAAGTTATTCTCTGGACTGTCACCCCTGATTTTTGTACTTAAGTTTTAGAGAAAAGCTTGAACCCAGAATCTCTGACTCAGAGGCAAAAGTATCACTTAATGAGCCCAGTTAAAAATCTAGATGAAACATTTACTTTTCGACTAACATCACTGCATCAAATCCGAACATGGTAAATGTTAAAATATCTGCAGAGAGAAATCAGAGCTGAGCTTTTCTAACAATTTCTGTTTTTGTTTCTGATTTACAGCATTCATAGTACTTTCTGTTTTTATTAAGTGTTAAAATATACTTCCTGAACATCAAACCAGGCAAGTTGCTTCCAGCCACTGTTCCCATTACCTACCCTCATTAACCTGAAACCATCCAAATCACTAATGTCATTCTGCACAACAGCGGTCGCTACCTCCTAATCCCAATCCCTACCCTCCATGGTTACCCATCCATTCTCTTGGTTCGCCATCCTCTTTCAATCTTCCTGACCCCCAGTTCTTTTTGTTGACTTATCCAAGAGCCAGTGCTGCAATTGAAACAGCCCAATCTTGGAAATCTATTCCTCTGTGAGCTCCCTGAAGATAATATTTAGCTGTCATAAGTTCACTGATTAAATTGTAATGGGGCCCAAGATGTAACATAAGGTGGGAGTCCCTGTCCTATCCTTTCCATGTTGGGTACTAGCAAATTTCGAAATGTGTTTTAAATTTGAATATTCCTGCAATTTCATTAGCTGACTGCTGATTACATATATTTCTGTAAGAGAAGCTCAAACTGCTAGCTCCTAATAATTTATCAGAACTGATCAGTGTAACCACGTAAAGGGTTTCCAAATGGATTCCTTAATTGCTTATAGCATGCTGAAGCTCAAATGCTAAGGAGCACAAAGGAAAAGTGAAAGTAAAGTTCAGCAGAGTTTTGTCTTCAAAGGATAGTAGTCTTATAGAAGTTTCCACAGGAGGCTACCGAAACAGTATATTTCTGGGTTCAGAAAACAACAATCTTTGAAGAGGAAAAGTTGATGTACATGTTAGAAACAGGAAGGTGGAGCCAGCTAATTGTGAGTTATCTATGGCCTAATGGTCTCTTTTACCTAATAGCAACTATAACTTTATCTAGGAAATAGCCTGCTACAGGTTACTTGCAAATGTAAGAAGAGAATTCATACTAAGTCAACTAATCAGTAAGCTGATCATACCTATTCAAAATTTGATCTCAGAAACCAACATAAAGGATCAGTTCATGGATATAGCAACTTTTTTTTATTGCATCACAGCTCTTGGTCAGAAGGGAGAAAATGCAGAAATGGATTTCTGGAGGAAAAAGGATTGGGAGAAGCCCAGCAGAACAAAATGCACCTCCATCTTTTAGGGAATTCAGAAGCAGAAGAAGAATTGGTTTTCACAAAGTGTCAAAGATCACACAGTGAAAATTTAACCTTCATCACCACAACGTGAGGCAGACTTCAGTTGCTTGGGCCATGGCCGTGCAGTCTTATGCATAACAACAAAATGACTTGAAGGGTCCTGAATTTTCTGAGTGATATCAACAGCCAAAATGATCAAATCAGCCAACAAATCAGTAAATGTTTTCCTTTTCATCTGAATCTTGTAACAAAATTTAATAAAAGTATCTATAACCACCAGCTTAATTTCATTACCTGCCTTTCAGTAGCGACATATGAATAATGTGCACCTTTATCATACCTTATATCTTTGTGATGTCTAACTAACATTTCTACCCTTGTTGTCTCGACAGAAATTCTTGGTAACAGAGGTACACATGGTGACGCTGGAGAGAGGACCTTCCACTCTGGCCAATATGGCCATTTTGATGGTATCTAATTTTCTCACATTGGCAGAAGAAATTTTTCCTTTCACTGGATGTCTTTATATTTTCAGCCATTACCATTCCCTTTAGTCTGCTTCATTGGCTCCTTTGGAGGGTGACTGTTTGACACATTGGTTCCCTGAAGAGAATGCAATGCTGGCTCGGTTTTAAAGTATTCATGCAATACTCCTACGTTCACTTTTCTAACCAAGCTTTTAATATGTTTAACTTAAAACAGCAGATCAGTGCTGTAGAAACTATTGACTGTTGGTTTCATATTATCCTCCAAATAATTTTAGGTCTTAGAAATTATGAAATAAGACCTTACCCAAATCTCCTTGACAGATATCAGTTCTTGAGGCTCCGCCAATGATGAACTTTGGATTCTCACAGATTTCCTGACAAGACAAGACATGATTAACTGAGCCTATCAGCAATTGAAAACACTTTCTTAAAACACTTCACTCTTCATCCCGGTAAAATTTCATCCCTATTAAAACATGGCCACCAAATGTGTTCTTTTCTTTTCATTGAGACACAAATTTAAGCATGACTGGCACTGAGATTGTTACTAAAAATGCCAAGGTTTGTGTCTGAAAGCACTGTTTAACTACCCTTAAAATCACCAGGCAGTGCAACATGATTGGTGCTCTTCATGAATGCAACTAACATTTGTAAAATAAACTAATAACCAGACTGTCAATAAGAAGAATAATATCATCAATATCAATGATCAGCCCAATGTTATTATGACCCTTTGTGAATGAAAGGCATTGAAACAACCAAAAGGACCAGCTTTTTTGGACTCAATGGATAGTTTTCAATATCCTCATCAAAAAATTCATAATGTCAAATAAATGAATGTGTCCGTTAAGGCCCATGCTATAATTAACCAACAAACATTAATTTAGCAATGGCAGTGGACATAAACATAAGCCAGACTCAAAAAATGTCATTCATGGTTGAGAGTACTTGAAAATAGTACCTGAAAGGTTAGCTGAATTAATTTCTAAGTTTATTATGGTAGAAACAGGTACCACAACTACTTTAGTTAAAAAGAAAAGATACATTTTACTAAACATAACACATGAACAGATGAACTAAGGAGATGAAGGACGCCATTTAGCCCTGAATCTAGTCTAAGATTCAAAAACATTACAGTTGATCTGATTGTAACCTCAACTCCACATTCTAACCTATCTCCGATAATTTTTCACCCTCTTGCATATGGTAGATTCTACCTCTGCCACAAATTTATGCAAAGACTTTGCTTCCACCATCTTTTGGAAAAGAGTTTCAAAGACTCATGCCCCGCTGAAAGAAAAGTCTTCCTCATCTCGATCCTAACTGAATGAACCCTTATTTTTCATTGATGATCCCCTAGTCCTAGATTCTTGCACAAGAGGAAGTATCCTTTCTACAGTCACCTCAGGATTTTGCAAGTTTCAATCAAGTTTCTTCTCACTCTGTTAAACTCCAGTGAACACAAACCTAGTCTGTCTAACTTTTTTCCCCAAAGACAAACCATCCACTCAGGGTATTACTCTCATGAAACATCTTTGAACTGCTTCCAATGGAGTTACATTCTTCCTTAAATAAGGAGATCTATACCATATTTACTATACTTTGTCTAGCAGTGGTCTCATCTTATATAGCTGAAGCAGAACAAAGACATTCAATGCCCCTTGCAATAAATGACAGCATTCTATTTGCTTTCCTAACTTCTTATTATACCTATACAGTAGCCTTTTGTGATTCATGCACTAGGACACCAAGACCCCTATGCTTCTCAGAGCTTTGCAATCTTTCACAATATACTTCTGTTTTATTCTTCCTGTCAAAATGGATAATTTCACATTTTCACACTCTTACCTCATCTTCCAGATTGCTGCCCCACTCACTTAATTCAGCTACATACTTTTGTAGCCTCCTTTCATCCTCTTCATAACTTACATTCCTACTTATCTTTGTGTCACCAGAAAATTTAGGAACTATGTCTACAGTCTCTTCCTCCAAGTAATTTTGATAAATTGTAAAATGTTGAGGCCCCAGCATTGATCCCCATGGCACACAACTCATTACATCTTGCCAACCAGAAAAATACCCATTTATGCCTACTCAGTTTCCTGTTAGTTAGCCAAACCCATGTCTTCTTCAATCAATCCCCCCTATACCGTGAGCCTTTATTTTCTGTAATAAAATTGATGCAATACCTTATCAAATGCCTTCTGGAAATCTAAGTGCAGTACATTTACCAGTTCCCCTTTATTCAGAGCACGTGTTCCTTCTTCAAAGGACTCCAATAAATTGATTAAACATGATTTCCTTTTCATAAGCCATTTCACTTTGCATCATTACCTTGAATTTTCTAAAATGCCCTGTTATAATAACAACTTCTAACATAACAGATGTTAAGCTAACAGATTCACAGTCTTTCTTCCTTGAGGCCCAAACAGTCTCCAACATCAATACCTTTTCTAGGCTGTATTTGAAATGAATTTGACAATTATTTCCTTCTCTAAACGGTGCTCCACATGGGTGTGCTATGTAAAGGGCTTGTTTCCACCAAGGTTTAGAATGTGGATGTGGAAAGGAAATTTCCTCTTGTAGGAGAGTACCAGAACTAGGGAGCATTGTTTAATGCAGCCATGTCTACCTTCTTTTGGGATATGTTGAACGTTCCTTGTTCCAGTTCTACTTGGACCCCCTCCCTCACTTCTTTTTCTGGTCCATTGATGGCCATACTGGTGCTGTTTTCATTGGTTTCTGAACAAGTTAAGCTAACACGAGAAGCCATGAGCTCCAAGATCCCTGTAGGTCATCTGACCTAGAAAAATACTGCCATTCCATCCATATTAAGGGACGAAAACACAGAACTCCCTCACACCTAACATAAGTGCTCAAGAAGACAATGTATTGCCTCTTCCCTTGGCCAGTCAAGGATGAGCAAAAATACGTTGGCCTTTACAGTAGCATTCACAACCAGAAATTTTTTTTCAAAAATTGTGGTATAAAAACATGAAGTGCTGGAGAAGCTCATCAGGTCCAGCAGCACTTTTGGAGAGAGAAGCAGTTAAGGTTTTCAGTCTAATGACTCTTCTTCAGCATCTGCTGTATTTTCCTTTTATCCAAGAATTGTAGTATTTTCCCAGATGACCATGTCTGATACCTTGTGGTATTTGCCACCTTCATTTGTATGTGGGATTGGGCAAGGGTTGTTTGCTGCCAACAATCCTCCTTTATCTTTGCTTAGTTTAGAACCTATCAAGTGATTAGTGGTACAAGATATACCACCATAGAATATATTCAGAAGAGACACTGCTCCTAGATAACAAGGTGTACTGTGCATGACAGCAATAAGTCCAACTACATTTAGTTCGGCATAATTACAGGATGCTAGGGAGTTGTCACAGATATATCCGGCCCTTCTGAAAACGAGTGGAACTCCTTGTCTCCACCCACAGATTATATGTGAGTTGAGAAGAATGGGTAGAGCCATCATACTATGAACAATAACCACTTCAAAACCATTACATTACACAACAGTAACAGTGAGTCGTCACACTTGTATAAAATAAGACACTGTATTACAGATTGTTTTTCATTTACAGTAACTGTGAGTACTTGCACTCTCATCAGAGTACTACCTTCTATTCACTCCAGTACTCCCAGCCTTACTCCCTTATCAGGGTGCAAAATATACTTATGGTAAATGCAGGTACTCCCACTTTCACACTTCTATCAGAGTGCAGATTTCCCTTTACTTACAGTAAGTGTGCATGAATTCTCAGACTACATAGATTGCTCTTCACTTATAGTAATTACAAGCTCCCCCACCCTCACTTACCCATCATAGTACATGCTGCACTTCACATACTGTAACTGTAACACTCAACCACCTATCACAGAGCACTGACGCACACTCACAAATCCTATCAGGCTGGACACACACTAAAAAGTAAATTTGCTTGGATCCCTACCTTTGGTCGTTTCCACAGTATGTTCTTCACTTTTGTGGACTTTTGTCCCAGTTTTTTATACCCAAGGGACTCCACTGAGGCTGGAAACGTATCATCTTCAAACAGAATATTTTGCTGCAGGCAGTCCTGCTTCAGTGTTACAAAGTTCTGCTCATTAAATTTGATGGGCTTGTGAATCGACCCTTCCCCCTCCCGCCTCTGTCTCTCACGTATCAGGCGGTCACAGAAGTGCCCAGTTGGTGTGTATGGCATGGTTTCCAGCAAAAGATCTTTACTTGGATCTCTATGAGCAGACAGAGGGCTATTGAGGCAGCAACTACCACACTCAGCAGCAAATGATATCAATTGGCACGCTACAATACCTTCAGTGGACACAAACTCCTGGCACAAATCCAGGCTGCTCATTCCTGATTGGATGGGTTTCAAACAACGTCACACCTGCAGAATACAGTACAAAAGACAATCTCCCTCAGGCCATTGGCTGAGATACAATAGAGAAAGAACAAAAACTACACACTGAGGGACTGCTGAGTTACAACAGCCAGAAGGGTTGTGTTGATAATGTTGGTGAAGAACAGGAAGAAACATAGAGATAAGCATCTTTTTTTCTGTATCCAAAGAGCTGAAAGAGGCTCTGTCTGCCTCAGCAAATGGCATTCACGATAAAGCTGCACTCAACAAGCTGTGTGTGAGACACACTATAGACTTTAATCCAGTTGAGATGCAAATCCATTGAATGTTGATCTTATGGGCCTGGCTGGGCTGTTATGACTTCAGGTGGGGCAGTATTTCTCCCCCATAATTCTAATCCATGCACTTCTCAGTTCCTGTGGAGAGTTTCTCTCTGACCTCATTGATTTACTTCCCAACACTCAACACTTGTGCTGAGAGAAACAAGCTACATTTAATTACAAGAGTACATCTCAAATACCAGTGTGCAGAATTGGTCCCCTTATTTTAAAAAAATATTTGAGGTAGTTCAGAGAAGGTTTATTCAGTTGATACCTAGACAGGAGGGTTGTCTAATGAAGAAAGGTTGGATAGACTTGTTTCAACCAGAGCTTAGAATAATGAGGGATGAACCAATGTCGTCAAATAAGCCCAATTCAATGATCACTATTAATTATTTCATTATCCTTAGTGGCCAGCCTCTTCTCAGCAGAGGAAATATTATGATGAGATAACAAGGTGTAGAGCTGGATGAACACAGCAGGCCAAGCAGCATCATAGGAGCAGGAAG